AAAAAAAACAATTTATTAAAATAATAATATTAAGGTAAACAAAGTTCCATAAGCATTAATAACAAACTGCTTTAAAACACTGCTCCCCACCTTGTAAATGAAAATTATTAACAATACTACTGCCAGTACAAGTGTAAGGGAAGATTAAGCCATTTTTTTTCATACACTTATGAGATTACTGAGAGATAGATGAAAATGCAAAAATAAATAAGTAATTAGAAAATTATATTAATCTCATGCAGGTGGGCGAAACGTACAATAAATCCTAGCTCTACTGTAAGAGAAATTTTAGAAAGTTCTGATAAATTCCTCTTTACCTGCGCTTTCTTAGCAACATAGCGGTTACACTTTTCAAGTTCAAGATCATCAGAATTAACGGCCTGCGTGATCTGTTGCCCAGGATCCTCAGACTTTGCTGACTAAAAAAGCAAATACTTTTTCATAGCAAATGTGGGAGCATATCATGCTAAACAGTAAGTTGAAGTACGCAAGTATACTGTAAGTGTAAGCGATTAGAGAAAAAAAAATTGAACTTTAGAAATAAGTGGTGTTGCGGTAAACAGTGACCTGGTCAGAGTCATCAAAAAGTTACGAAGCTAAAACTGTGTACCTGTTACACTAGTAAAAACAACAACTATTTTGTCCACCATATTTCCTCGATGTTAATTTCAGTATGTGGAGAAATTACCCTTTAAATTTGCCTGAACCCTTCCAAAATAAAGATCAAAGTTAATTGAAATATAAATGTATAGAGCTTAACTAGAAAATAACAGCAATAGAAGTAAAGCGAATAAAAGAGTTAAGCGACTACTTCAACTTATGATAAATTAATGAGAAGCCAAAATAGAAAACAAAAGTCATGACACAAGAAAAATGTTATGTGCAGGTGAAAGGTGCGTGATTTGTGACCTAGTAATATAAATTTTCCGCAATAAGCTATCTTTCTTAGCTGATAATAAATTGCTGCTCTGATTTAATAACTTACACTGACTTTTTGAGAGTTCGCAAACAACCCAATTTTCTGTAATTTTTGACAGCCTTGGAAAAACGATTGAAGTTTCGTTTCAGTGGTGAATGCTGAAGAAATCAGTCGAAGACGAACCCGAAATAACGGCTTTCCACCCTCGACCCAACGAACATCAGGCCCAATGTGCTGTAAAATGATGAAACTGTAATGAAATTTAAAGTAATTTCATGTGCAAAAAATTAAGAAAATTTATTTAATTAATATGTTTTCCAAGTGCGTTAGCAGAAAACTTCAATAAACTTGTACAAAATATGCTGTCGCTTATTTAACGTACTTTAGCACATTATATTCTAATTTAATTCATATATTTCTCACCTACATCCTTTGTTTAAAAATTATTTTAAACGTACACTTTGAAAATTCCTAATATGCACAGCACTTTTAACAATCATGGAAAACTTATGCGTTATTTTTCAGATAAATCTTAGTTTACTTTTTCCCGATAATGGTAACTGTGCAGATCAAAGCAAAAAAGTGACGCTTCAGAGTTGTCTGTAAAGAAATGCTCGCCAAATTTGTCTACAGTTGCTTTCAATATAATGAAGAAGAGGTGAAGACGAAAGCAGGCAGGTAAATGGTAATAAAACGAACTAGAAAATTTACTAAAGTGTCATGTGAGTACTTCCATATTGCGCTCCATTATTCTTTTAACAACCAATAGAAGTAAAAATACAGGAGTTCATAAGAAGTGAGCAACGCAAAAATAAAAGACAGAGCACTTTTTGGCAGACTCAAGCGATAGTAAGTATAAGTGATTAGCTATGAAACTTAAACAAAGCTCAATAGAAGATTAATTACGCATCTAAATGTGAAACCTCTCAAAATAACTACCGAAAAGAACCGTAATAGACAGTAAGACCTAAGGGTGTAACAGCAACAAAAATCTCGACCGCTGTTAACAACTCTGAAAAGCGAAGAAAAAATTATCCCTAAACCATTCCTTGTTACTGGAGTAACAGACCCGTTCATTTAGTACTGATGTTCTATCTCAAAAAACAGACACAGTCAGCTAAGTTATGTGTCATCAAAAAAGTAAGAACAAGGAATCATATGTATTCGACAGGTGTAAGGCTTATTTAAAAGTTAATAAACTTTCGAAAACTAAGGAAAAGCAAAATTCCTCTTACCAAAACAACGAAGTAGCTGGCTGTAAAAGTACGGTGGTATAAAAATATCTAAATCCAACTTGAAAAGAAAAACCAGATTTCACAAACCCCTTTCCCCAAGCCGAGAGACTGGTAGGTGATATACCCTTCAGGCAAGTCTGCTGCAACAGGTAAAGCAACTTCCTGTTCATCATTTTCCATCACTAAACGATCATTTTTGACTAGTGGCAACCAAGCGTACCCTGCAGGTATCTCGAATGGCTAAAAAATTTACAAATTAGATATAAATCAGGAGCTTTTAGAAAGAACGATAAAGCAGCTTACTGTTGAAAAAACCAATGCACAAATGAGTTGGGTGACTGAAAGAAAACTTCTGGTACACCGAACTAACCTCATTGGTTTTTTGCATGGCAGAAGAAATAGCTATATGCGTGAAAGTGAAAAGAAGATGATCAGAAGGATCCAAAGTAAGAGGTAGTCGTATTTTTATCTGAAAACCTTGAATTGCAGAAACTTCTTCTTGTTTGCAGAAGCAACTCAAAACAAATCTGCTAATTTTTTGACAATGACGATGATATATTTGCGAAAGAAGGATAACTGGTGCTATAGCTACCTCATCGCCGAAAGTTGGGTTCTGCTCATGGTGTTGAACTGTACAACGTACGCGATGGACGAAAGGCGTCGGGTAGGCGAATCTATCATAGAGGGCCTGAATACGTCAAAATTTAGCAAATTTCGCAAGGAATACGTGAATAAATAATCAGAAGAACATCGGACCTATCAACAGTTCGAGCCTAATACTACAAATTTTTTAGTGCTTTTTTAAAAGACTGTCTCAAAAAATTTCTATAAGTTAAATAACTCAACACTTCTAATACATTCAAAAAAAAGAATAGCAATTTAAAGAAAGACATGCCTTGACGCTATTGCCACCACGCTCATTAGAAGCAATGAACTGCACAGTGCAAGCGATGTTTCTGGCTTTATTAAATATTTTCTGGCTATCATATTTCAACAACAACGGATAAACATACAAATTATTAACAAGAGCAGTGTAGGGTTCAGTCACAGTATCGGTAAAAGCTTGCATTTGGAAAGATGGAGAAATCAAAGTGTCCGGCGCTGCATTCCAAGGAAGAATAGGTGTAAATGAAGGACTAATCCGCACTAGACAAAAAGATCAAATAGATTAATTGCAGTAGAAAAGTATGACATTAATTTGCAAAACCAAATGTAGTTCCGACAAAAAACTTACTAGGAAATTCGCTCACTCTGGCAGATATGTCAACTGAGAGTGTCATAGTTCCATTAGGAAGGGGAACTAACTTCCCAGATTTTTCACTCCTGAAGTAAAACAACTAGCTTCCTCCCCACATTTTGAAAAGCAAAAAACTGTGATAATTCTTAATGTGCGACGAGTAAAAAATTAACAATAAAATAATTCAAATAAACGAAATGAAGTAAATTACTTAGCCAAGTCATTTAAAACTTTTTGTAAATCAGAATCGCTCATCTTATTCCCATCCCACTTGTAAAGAGAAATATCCTCGGAAAGTTTTGCAACTCCGAGCATTTCTTGAAAAGCCGGTCTAAAATTAGAGATATCAAAAGGTTTAGAGATCAAACCGGTAAGTTGTATAGAAAAGCGTCAAACCTAGCTGCCCATGCGAACGGCATCCTAAATTTAGAAAGTTTTGAGGAGGCCTGCTGAATACTCTTTATCTGTTTGGCCACATTTTTTGGGTCTACATTGCTCTTCATATAAATTTCCGCAGAAAAGTCCGTGGAAAGAACTCTTTCAACTCGAGCCACAACATATATTTCGCGATGAGGCTGAGCTACTGAGCAAATCATCTACAAAACCATGAATTTTGAAAAAGGAAAACTTAAATTACTGAAAAGTAATAACTAAACTTGTCAGTTTTTAAGAGTTCAATTACAGTGCCTGACTTCGGAAAATAAAAAAACTTTATTGAAAATAACTCCTGATTATTAAATAAAACTACCTTGCATGCATTTGGATCTGAAAGAACAGTGTAAGGAATGCCACTAAGGCCGTCTTCATCCAAAGAGTTTCTCGAGCCAGCCGCGGATTCATTATCGGGAAGAGCGGTAGATCCAAATTTCGGGCTTACTCGAAACTCCTCTGATAACCTTTTTCCAGCTCGAGAATCAAATAAAAAGAGGCGCACAAAAAAGGGCTCAATCTGAAAAGAAGTAGAGACTACTGGTCTGACTAATTAAAATATATTGTAAGAAGACGGCAACATACTTTGCAATCCTAAATAATAAATAATTAAATGATATCCTCTTTAAAAAAACCGCATCATTAATTAAACCACCGCAGTTGGTAGCTTGCAATAAAAATTGAATTTTATCAGAATTCCAAAATCGGAATGAGTCTTGAGCAAAAATTTTGCATAAATTTTTTCTTATATATAAAAACTGCCAGAAAATTTCATGTTAAACATGACCAGTGAAACCCTTTCCATACCTGTTCTGGAGCTGAAGACGCTTTGACATCGAGCTTTATGAATTCAACAGTAAATCGCACAGTTTTCTCACTTCGGGTGTCACCACTACTTTTTCCACGTGGTCGATTCAACCGCCGTAGCAAGCTGCTTGACTCACCGCGCGGGCTAGGTAAAGGCTAAAATTAAAAGACAAGCCAAGTATATGTCATGAACGTTTTGAAGTGTTCAAGTAAGACAAAAGTGCTGATTCATTTAGTGTTACACTATACAGGCAAAATTTAATGCAAGTATAAAAAAGCATTATTTTCGTAATTACATCTAAATCAACGTAAAGAGCAAAAATGTTATTTCGCTGCACAGTAGGAGGTTGAAGAGCTTTGACGTGAGCATTCTTTCCCCTAGGAGCACCAACGCTGTCTATTCCTAAAAAAAAGTCATCTGAAAAATACCTTTGAATATGACGCACCAACTAAAAACATTATTTACCAGAGGCCTTAGAAGACAAGGCATCATCCTCACTAGCACCACTTTCATTGTCTCCTAAACTTATTGCAGAAACACTACGCACACCAGCAGAACCAACCGATGCCGCATCATCTGTAAAGTTTCTAAGAAAAGTATTAAGGAAACAACAGGTCTTGGTTAACCTGTAAAACTGTAAAACCTGTAAATTTTTAGAGAATATAATTTCTACAGGATCTTTATCAACAGCATTCTTTTTAATCGCTCTGCGCTTTTAACCGCAAAAAAAGCATCAAAACCAAAAACACCTTTAGATACGAGAGCGCGATCCACTTCGAAAAGCCACCTCGACAAATCGCTGTCAACATCTGCAGCAAACGAAATAGTATGTTGCTCCTCTTCAGCACTAACGACCTGAAAAGAACGCGTAAATTGACGAAAATTCCACAGGTACGAACAGACACTGCACCCTATAACTACAGTATAGCTCAAAAGCTTAGATATCTGTAAAAAATGATGTAAAGTAACTACTTCTAAAACACTTTTTCCTTTCTTGGTTTTGGTCAAATAAACTTGTTTGACTGGAGTTGGCGGATTGTGCGGCGGTATACTGGGAGATTTTCGTAGTTCAAGTTGGACTTTGCCCTCATCTACCTTTCTAAATATGCAATACCGTTTTTTAGCGCTCTGAAAAATAAGAAGAATTTATTGGAGTAGCTGAAATAACAGTTGCTTCTTCTAGTAAAGTCCATCTAAAAAATTAATTTGGAAATTTGGAAAAAACAAAAACTTTTCTAAATTAAGACGAAACCTTAAAATTGTCAAGCAAACCGCTTTCAGGAACGATAAAAAGATAGCCTTCACAAATTACATTCGAAGTAGAGAAAACCTGACCTTCTAAAGCCTGAAAAGCACAAATAAATCTCTATGATATTTGAATATGTACGTCCCGTGTTCTAAAATTTATGAAAATACAGCGACTGAAGTTTGTGAGATTATGAAATAGCTGATGACAGATGAACATACAGCTCTCTCCTCTTCGAGCGCCAAGTCTGATTCGAATGACAGCGCATTCAAGTCACTAGCGAGCCTAAAATGTTGTTACACTTCACCAAAACTGCTAAAAAGATCAATTAGTAAACAAAATAACAGAAAGAATTTACGCATCGGTACGACTATCGTAGTCCCCACTAAATCCAGCATAATTGAATTCGATACATTTTGTGGGACTGTTGTACAACTTCAGCGCCTCTTGAGTCAAAAGCCATAATGGTTCGCCTTGTTCATGAGCTACATATGAACGGTCTTCTGCTTTGGCTCCATTTACATTTGATTCCTGAAAGCAGTTTATCTAACCTGCTGAAAAGCATGCAAAAATTGACCAGATTATGAAGTGTAATAAAAATGCATACGCTGATGTCGTCGCGCGGAAAAAGCAGAAGTTCTCGCTGACTGTCGCTGTCAAAGTCGGCCTTCTTACTGGTAATAAACGTTTCATAGTCCAATGGTTGAGCGATCGGTGGTTTCCTCTGAGGAGTTTAGAACAATCAGTATAACGAACTCAACTATATATAATAACTGTCTTGAAACGCTTTTTGGTTCTTGCTACAAAAAACTAAAAAACCCGTGTTTGAAAGAGGAATGAGATACCAGTAAAAGAAGTTTTAGCAAACCCGGCCCTCTAATCCGAAATGAGGAAAAAATATACTTTGAGAGAAAAACCAAGCTGACACTTAGTAACGGTAACAACAGATTATCAGTTCATTATGCTTTTGATTATTAAAGTGGCAAAGGCTGAAAAAAACCTTGACGAAAAGGCTTTTAACTTTCAACACCAAAGCCTTCATCCTCAGTTCTTAATCGCCAACCGCATAAAACTGAACAGTCGTTAAAGCAATGCTATTCTTAGCCAACGATTAAACACTTTAAAAAGCTAAACCATTGATTTTTTTGATTAGCCCTTCTGAATACCGTGTCGACAATTATGACAATCCAATTAAAAAGCAAAAGTGATCAGCCAAATCTACTCGCTTTTATTCGCAAATGCCCACCATTGAACAACTAATAGGCTGAGAGTCATTGACTGCCAGTTTCAAACTTCGTTTCACTTATTCCGGGAATTACTGTACTCTTTTTCTATTATTTTTGGTCCGACATAGACTTTAAAGTCTTATCTAAAGGTGATCAAACCAAACTGTAACAGGAAAAACTTTAAAAGACAAAAAAAATTTAGTGTTATTTTTCTTTAGAAAAATTTAAACGTCATAAGTGGGGAACCCAACAAGAGCCAACAATACTCAGACAATCTTCAAAAAAATCTGCTTCAACGACTAAATAAAGATAGGCAACAATGGCAAATTCATCCAAAGTGGATGTCAATTAACGCTCTTAAATGTAATGTCGCTTATCACTGTTGTTCCCCAATTTATCGCACCTGCTAAATTCATAACCCCAAAATTTTTGTCTTTAATACAGTGACCGAAAATACGATATGAAACACATGAACAGAATACAACAAATACAACACTTAAAGACCTACCGCTGCACTGGCGAGTGTCATCGCAGCTCTGACCGCTTCTCGAGCTTCTCGAGCCTGTCCCGGTTTCCCCACTGCTGCTGTAAACCTAAAGAAGACCATTGAAAAATTGCGACAATTATAAAAAAAAAAAAAGTAAAAATAAAATTTTAAAAAAATATTTATTTCTTCAGAAAAACTGTTAAAAACAGCCAAGAAGAACCTGCTGTGTTTAACTGTTCTAAATTAGCTTTAAAATGCCATAAAAAATGAACGTAAGATACTGCTTAATGAAGAAGAAATCACAAAGCAAAAAGATAAATGAATAAGTAAAGAAATAAAATTATGGGATTGACGACGAGGAAAATAGATAATTTTAGACTACTTATCTTACAAATGAAACACCACAATAATCATTTCAACTCTTTAATATCACCATCTCAATCTTACGCGACACTGTCTCATACACTGAAATTACTCAAAAACCAGTGAGGTTTTGCACTCAAAGGTGACCGAAAGTTTGAGAAAGACAGGAAAAAAAGGCAAGAAAATGTAGAAAGAATCTGGAAAAAAAAAACTTACGATTTAACTCGAGTGACGCTACGTCTTGGCGAGATTGGCATTGCACTAAACTATCTTTTACTAAGGATCCGTTTTTAACTACTATAATATCAACCTTATTAACAAACAAAAAAACTGCTTATTCAGAGTTACCGTACATTATTCTGATTTATTCTGCTATTTTTTGCGCTAAGAATTAAAAAGTGAAACATATAAGAATGAGCAAAAAAACGAGATATTGTCCAGTGAAATACAAAGTTATAAATACTGAAAACATTGCTGTTCATTCCACACAGAATTTTGATGCCCTTTAGCGTCAAAATATAATAAGCAAAAACACTTCTAAACCTTTAAACATCCTAAACATCGTCATCGCCTCCTCAACTAACCTCCTTCTTTCCCCTTTTAATCATCAATCAATCATACAACTCGTTAACTTTTCAATCAGAATATTGCCCAGCACTAAAACACCAAAACTGTTTCTCACTTTCTCAACTCCATTCGATTATTCCCAACATTCATTAATTTAAAGAAAAAACAATGACCGTCCTTTATTTTTTTTTATTTTTTTTCCCAAAAACTTTTACTTAACAGTTAAAAAAACAGAGGCGTAAAAATTGAACATTTTATTGCGCAAAATGCTCGCTAAAAAACCTTTTTTTAGTTTACTATTTCAGAAGTAAATTTAACTATATCTGTTCAGTTTAACTATTCTGAAAAATAAGCAAAAATATTCGCAAAAAAAAGAGAAACAGTAATAAAAAAAATAACGACAAATAAAAGACGAAAAATTGTCAAAATTAACAACAAAATTCCTATAGTAATACTTTCAAAAAAAGGGATAAAAAGTTTAAAAAAAACTTTTTTTTTTTTGCTAATACTCTGTCGTTATTGAAAACCAAAAAAGTGCAAAATAAATCGTTAAATTAGCTACTTGTCAGCCAAGACTAAACTAGAATTCTCAATCCTTGTTCTCGATTTGTTACCAGATGATCCAGAAATGTTCTCGCAATGACAACAGAACCTATTTTTCGTCTTGCAAAAAAATTTGCAACTTTACTCAATTTTATCCTCAATTTCTCCTTAGCTAATATTTTTTGAATCACAATTCTCAAATAAATCTTAGGTATTATTTGTTTTATTGCAGTTGAAAAACAAAACGAGCTAATATTTCTACAGTGTAAGCAAACAAATATTATTTTCGGAAATCAAATAAATCCGAATTTTTGTGTAATATATAGTTCAAAAAACAATTCTTTTTTTTTTTCGGTCTATTTGGCTGAAAGATTCAAAAAATTGTCAAAACCGATGACTTTTAAAGTGCTCTTTGAACATCCAAAGAAAAATTATATAGTAACAACAACAACAATAACAGAAAGATAAAGAAAAGAATTTTTTCAGTGGGAGAGGAGAGGATATCCACAGAATCGTTGATCTTTTTAGTTGCTCAAAAATTAGAGGACCACGACCACGACCCCGATAACAATGACAACAGCAACAACCACTGCAGCGATACGAAAAAGCTAAGGCAATCTGAGCCAAGCCAAGCCAAGCCAAGCCAAGTCAAGGCAAGACAAGACAAAGCAAGACAAGGCAAGAGACAAAAAAGATTTTTATAACTAGTTTTCAAGTTTGATTGAAATTTGCACTCTTATGATCACTGAAAATAAGCAGAAGCTCCTCTTTCTTTTGAAAACGATAAGATGAATGTCTGAAAAACTCAAATGTTTCAGAGCCTAATTTTATGCTGAAAAGCAAAAGCAGTGAAAAAAAAAAAAAGAAAAACAAATAAATAAATAAATAAATAGAAGGAATAACTTGAAAACTGAAAAAGAAACAAACAGATATATAAATTTATTATTTTCAGTCCTGTTCCAAAACATTTTTTTTTTGTTCCATATCTTTCCCCTTTTAACAACACAAACAGTTAAAATAAGTCAACAAAAATAACAACAAAGAATTTAGTCTATTTTCAAAAATTTTTTTGTTTTGAACTTAACTCAAATAAAACTACTTAAAAACAGCACTCTTTTGCAATATTTCAAAACTTTTCAAATTTTAACCTAAAAATTTACTGAAGAAAATCCAAAGAGGATAGAAGAATGCAAAAAAGAATTAATAGAACAAAACGAAGGCAACAAATTTAACATTCATCCTCCCCTACCAAAGAAAAAATAACTTTTTTGCCATATTTGTTGACGATGTATTAAATTTGCTTCATTACTCCAACACTGATTATTATTAAACTGAAAAAAAACGAAAATTTTACCGTTGTAAATCGATTATTTTCTACAGAAAAAAAAAGCTAATTGACATTACAGGCTTCAA